TTTTATTATCCTTCCTATACTAGTTTGGAATAGAGTTACATAAAATTGGCATTGCCACTTTCCTTCGCCTTTTTTTACCAATCTTACCGTGCTTGAATTAAGTGAAAAATATTAAAAGCTGAAACATCTCTACATACATCCCCAAAAAAATGATGAATAAATGAATAAACAAAATAATAATACTAATGAATTTTTAAAAATGACGGGAGAAGGTAGCCCAAAACAATGATCTTGTGGAAGGACGCCAATCTTGAAGTGAATTCTGCTCATGTTTAGTCGTTTAAAACGCTTTCAGAAATGTAATATGAGCAAAGTTAAGGAAAATGAAGAACTGTTCACGAAAAGCAAAACATATTTGAGATAAAATATTATATCGGGAGAAATGTTTTAGTTCGCCATAGAGACACATTTTCTATTTACGGATAAGAAGAAAACGAAAAATTAGAAGCGTAACTATGAAATATTCAAGGGAGTCCCAGTTTGTGTGTTGCGCCATCTACATGCAACCAGAAACAGAACATTTATTACAAAACTCAATATCGGATATTCCCAACATGGCAGACTTTTTCTGACCCTTGCTTACCACGATGCAGATGTGCTACGACAACCAAGCAAGGCTGGAATTCTACGAAAATCCGTCTGCTACACGGAAACAAATGACAACCGACGGATGGTGACGTCACTAAGGATTTTTTTCCGAAGAAAGTATTTTTGTTATTTTGTCTGACTCCAGATGTTTTGATACAAAAGAAAACATTTTTAAACAATAATGTGATATTTTCCCATGTTCAGGTAAATTAAACATGCCAATTGCTGAAACTATCCTGAGATGAAGTGATATGATGTGCATACCGAACGATACCGCGGCGGAAATATCATCCGATGTCACTGCAGTTGGTCTTCTAGCTCTATATCATCAAAGGCAGAGCCACAGTCCCATAGGGTGACTTTAAACCTTCAGTCCTACAACACACTCGCTATGAATAGTTGTACACATTTAATATGAATTAAGTTTACAGGTTTAATGATGTTATACATCTAATACATTTTCTATAAAGTGATGCGGGTGCATTTTATGTTGCTGAGTGTTACATTACTGGCTTGGTAATATATTTATTGTATATTGTTTTATGTAGTGCAATAAACAAGAAAGTAACGCAGAGAATCTTATAATCACCAGACTCTGATCCCATGCAATGTAACTGTAATTTAATGTTCATCCGTGTATGATAGTGCACGGTCCATTATCATTATTTATAATCGTTTTCTTTATCATTTGCTGTTTAGAGAACAACAGAAATGCTACTACAGAAAAGCTGACACCCTTGCAACCAAGGCCAACGGGCTAAATAAAAACAACTTCTCACCTCAGCATGAAGCAAAGTCAAAGAAAAAACGAATGAAGCTGCGGGTAAAGCCTAAGAAAGAAAGCACCATCAACAAAAACAAGAGCAAACTCCTCGGGAAAAGATTTGTTCCCCAAAGATTCTTGCCGTGTTCGAAGCAGCGGGAGAACGAACGCAAAAGATTCGCAATACACAGGAACTGAGAGCGGCTTTTCGGAATCAGGGAGGATCAGATAACAAAAAGAAACAGTAAATTAGCGGTCGTGTTTTTAACATTACAACAGCTGAAAAGAGAAGTGATCTTCACAGACGATTTGATTCACGATTTGTGCAAATTACTTTGAATACTTCTTATTTGCAATTAAGTGTTTGGCGTTTTTTATCAAGTCCTGCAATTATATACAATATATATGTATAAATATATATATATATATATATATATATATATATATATATATATATAATATTATATGTATTATGTATATATTATGTATGTATATATATGTATGTATATACTTATATGTATGTGCATATATATATATATATATGTGTGTGTGTGTGTGTGTGTGTGTGTGTGTGTGTGTATATATATATATATATATATATATAATATATATATATATATTATATATGTATTATGTATGTATATATATATATATATATATATATGTATATACATACATATATATATATATATATATATATATGTGTGTGTGTGTGTGGTGTGTGTGTGTGTGTGTGTGTGTGTGTATGTGTGTGTGTGTGTGTGTGTGTGTGTGTATGTGTGTGTGTGTGTGTGTGTGTGTGTTGTGTGTGTGTGTGTGTGTGTGTGTGTGTGTGTGTGTGTGTGTGTATACTGTGTGTGTGTTTACATATATATACTGTATGTGTGTGTCTGAACATTTTTATATATAAATTCATTGATTGTGTATTAGTATAGTGAGAGGATGTTCTGTTTGTTTGTTTTTTCTCATTTTCGTTTTATCGCCTTTAACTAGTAATGACATCTTTTATATAGTCCGAGAGCTATTTACCCCTTTGAGGAACGGTGGGACAACCTACCTATGGGATTTTCAGTTCTTGAAATAAAAGATTACTAATTTATGAGGAAATCATTCGGTCTCTATTTACCCTCCGAAGGCAAGTTAATCCTA